GGGGTCGCAGCTGCCTCTGCGATGCTGATAGAAAGGCGAAGAACAGTCAGGCTGGCATAGACCCCCTATCCTTAGAGAGATTTTTAGCAATATCCTTCTGGAGCCCAAACCGCGAGAGAGAAGTCGACGCGAGCGGGTGCTGAAAGTCGGCGATATCTTCGCACCAAGCACACTCGCGCCCGTCCGCCGCCGACTCGCGCGCCCGGCTCGCTGTACTCGCCAGCGACTCTTCAAGAGACCAGACCGGGTGTGAGAACGCCATGATTTCGCCGCCGCACTCACCACGGACGCTACACGTCTGTCGCCGCCGCCACCTGCTGCTCTTTGTCTCCGCAGCATCGGTCTCTCTCGTCAGCCTCATTGGTGCGCCATGCCGTCAAGCGCTGCTCGACTCCCTCGACTCTGTAGTGTGGTCGCTCAAGGCGGCGACTGAATGGCGCGTACGGGCGCTGCTGGACTCGGAGCCGCTTGCCGGCGACCCGCGCACCATTTCGCTGCCGCTCGACGACGGCTGCCACGCGCCCGCCTCGCGGCCCGCCGAGGTGAGCCCGCCCCTCAACCTTACCGCGGCAAAGCTGCTGATGCAGCTCAACGCGGTTTTGCTGTGCAGCGTGGGCGGGATTCAGACGTGGAGCTGCGGCCGCTGCGACGCCGTGGCGCCGCCTCCGCTCAACACGACTCTCCTCGCCTCGAGCTGCAACCCGGGGATGCCGAGCTGCGAGGCGTACTGGAAGGCGGCCTCGCTCGTGGGCGAGGTTGCCCGCTTCGCCACCCAGGCGCCGCCTGTCGAGGACGGGCCGGAGCTCGCCGCGCTGCTCGTGCTGCCCCAGGAGCGGTGGGTGGTGGTCGCCTTTCGCGGGACGAGAGACCTCGACGCGGGAGCGTGGATGACCAACTTCCAGACGTGGCAGGACGACGTGGCGGGCGGGTCGTGCGGCGAGAGGGTGCACCACGGCTGGGGCGAGAGCTGGGTGCAGCTGCGGGGGCGCGTGAGGCAGGGCGTGGAGGCGCTCCTCGCCGAGCACCCGACGTACCGGCTGGTCGTCACCGGCCACTCCTGCGGCGCCTCGCTCGCGACGCTGATGGCGGCCGAGTGGGCGGCCGACGGCTCCCTCTCCGCCCTCTCGCCGCCGCCCCTCCTCTACAGCTTCGCCTCCCCGCGGGTGGGCAACGCCGCCTTTGCGGCGAGCGTGGACGCCACCCTCGCGCGGCGCGGCCTAACGCTGTGGCGCGTAGTCAACCAGCGCGACTCGATCCCGCACGTGCCGCCCGACGTGGCCTCCTTGACCCCCCTCACGCACGCGCACGCACGCGGCGCGCGCCGCCTCGCACCGGAACCGCACCAGCCGCAGTCGCAGTGGCAGCACGCCGGCACGCAGGTCTGGCTGACGCCCGACTCGGGAGGCACCGAGGCGGAGGTGTGCGCAGCCGGATCCTGCAATGACGCCGTGCCCGGCTACAGGCTCTCCATCCTCGACCACACCACCTACTTTGGGGTGAGCTCTGCGGGATCGAACTGCTGAGCGATGAGTGTGTGTGGCATTAGGTAGCTCACGTGTGCACTTGAGAACCCTGCTGATTTTTTTGAGTTCGCCTTGCATGAATTTTTTTTTCGAGGGTGGTCATCGGGCGAGTTAGCAGCCTCGTTCACCACCGGGGCGCCGGCGTCTGTCTGGCTAGAACTAGAATGAAGAAAAATTCCGCCGATCCGGGAACGCCGATTGAACGCCGACAGGAGCAGGGGTCTGTCTCGAGGCGCCGCAAACGCAGACGAGCCATGCCGCTCTGCACGAAGAGCCTCGCGATCAGCGCAAACTGCGCCGTCGGCGCCGCTTACGGGCTCCAATTCTTCCTCGCCCCGGGCTTCGCGATCGAGCAGAACTTCAAGGTCGTTCCCGACAAATACCACAAGTTCATGGCCCCCCGTAGACCCCCCCCCCCCGGGGAGAGAGCGTAGCGTCTCCCGTCTGTTTATCGCCTCACACCCTGCCGCACCGCTCAGGCATGTGCATGCTCACACTCTGCAAGCTCATGAAGTCCGCCGACGAAGCGATCGTTTGGCCGGTCTCGTTCGCTTTCACGGCGTGCCCTGAGCAGCACGCGCGCCTCCCCACCCCGGAAGTTCCAACTTCCGCCCTACTGACAGGCGGCCGTCATGGCGTGCGGACCTGGCTTCGCCGAGATGTACCTTGACACTACGCCGATGCACAAGGTCGCGCCGGTCCTCGTCGGCGGCGTCCTCGCCGTCCACCTGCTCTCCGCGTGAAGCTCTCCGCCTGGGTCCGCCTGCCTGCCCGCGCCCGGAAATGCACACAATGCACCGCGGCATGCAGAGGTTGGCTGGCAGAGTGCAACGGAGGAACAGTGTCGAACACGTCCCGACATCTACAGTTCTTCTTCAAGAAGCCCCGCCTGACTTCCGACGCGTGCGCGTGGCCGTGGGTGTCGGCTTAGGGTACCCCTAGGCTTAAAAGGGTGGGCCCTGGGGCGCCTGCGGCTTAAACGGCTTAAAACCTGCCATGGCAGGTTTTAAGAGCTGCTGGGCCGCCGATTCCTTAAACGGTCTTAAACGCTTAAACGGTGCGGGAGAGCTCCCGAGGTCGATGGTCCGGGAGGCTCCCCGGTACGCGGTAGACGCCGGAGGCCGGGAAGCTGGCTACAGTCAGCTGGCACACGTCCCCTATGCGAGTATGGCTCCTGCCAGTGCACCAGACTTACAGATGTGTCTTCAGTGGCGGGTTTGTGCCTAATAACGGCAGTATTGGAGAAACCGGCGCGGAACCCAGCGACGCGGGGAGTCGCTTAGGCGGCTCCAGTGGTGTACCTGTGTTAGTGCCAGTGCGCGCCAGTCCCGTGCCCAGTGTTGTGCGAGGGAGTCTTGTTGTAAGATTATTTTTAACCTGTGTTAGCGCCAGTGCGCGCCAGTCCCGTGCCCAGTGTTGTGCGAGGGAGTTTTGTTGTAAAATTCTCTTTAATGCGCTGTTCCCCCGGCGGCCTGCCGCCGCTCTCTGCCCTCTCGGCGGCCGCCACAGCGAGCACCCACCCGCAGCCCGGGGGCCACGCGGCCGGGCACCAGGCCTTCGATGGCGGCCTCGCCCGCCATCGACCTGGGAGAGCCGCTCGCGGCTCTGTTCAAGCGCGCGCACGTCGCCGACAGCCTCTACCGCAGGTATGAGGGGCGGCTCGCGGAGCTGGGCGTTGGCGATGCCGGCGACCTCCTCGAGGAGGTCGCTGAGAAGGGCATCGGCTCGCTCAACATCCACGACCGCCAGGCGGACAAGCTCCGTCAAGCTCTTCTCGGCCGGCGGGGCTGGGGGGACGCAGCTGCTGTTCTTGCGGCATCCCTTGGCAGTTTGTCGCGCTGGACGACACCCCAGCTGGGGTGGCGGCTGGCGATCAGGCGGCTGCTGGCGAGGAGCGCGGCGGCGGGGCGGCGGCTGGCGGCGTGGGCCGCGGCGGCGCGCGCCCCCAAGAGGTGGACGGCGGTGCCTGCGACGCGCAGGCCGCAGAAGGTGGAACCGGGGGTGGGACCGAGGGATCCAGTTTGGACCCCTTGGAGCCCGCGCTGCCGGAGAGCGGCGATGGTACGATCGCTGCCGCGGGGGGGGAGGAGGAGGTCGAAGGCGGGCGGAAGGCGCCGCGGCGCCGCCGAGGGCGGCGCGGCCGTGGCGCTAGGGGTCGCGGGGGAGGGCTCGAGAAGGTGCCCGACACCGCGGCGGGTTTGGCTGCCGGGCGGCCCAACCCAGTGGAGGAGGTTTCCACCGGCGGCGCGGCGCCGGCGGAGGGGGAGGAGGGCGGCCCGCCCTCGCTCGCTGCTGATGACCCTGGACGTGCCCACTTTGCGCGACCGCCGGCCTGCATACGCCCGAGTTCGTCTCGGACGGCGCCGGCGCTCCGTCTCTTTTGTGTGTCCACGGGGTTGTCGACGGCAGGCGGGGCGGCCGCTGCGGCGGAGGCGGGGGGCGGGGCCCCTCGCTCTCCTACGGTGTTGCTAGGCGAGGATGGGCGGCCCTGCTCGGCGGAGGAGGCGGAGGAGGAGGCTCGCCGTCGAGGCTGGTCGGCGCGCGAGGCGGCTGTCGTGATGGAGTGCCGCCTCATCGAAGCGGGCGGTGGGGGGCGGTGCAGCGCTCGCTGGCTGGAGCTCGATGCGATTGCGGCGCGGCTGCGTCGCTACCTCGGCGATTCTGACCCGGGCGCTTACCCCATCGACTTCTTCTTATCGAGGCCGGAGGGCTTCGGCGCGCGCGGGGCGGCCGCGGAGGCGGCGTTTGGGCGGCTCTCGGCCGAGGAGCGCGACGAGGTGGTCGCGGCGCTCGCGGCGGAGTTCAAAGCGGGGGAGCGGGAGAGATTGAGCTGCTGGAACGCGGGGCGCGGTTCTGTTTGCGGTGTCCCATTCCCGGGGTGGGAGGATTGGGTGAGGGAGGGGCGGGTCCTCCTCTTTGAGGGGGACCTGGAGGAGTTGCGGAGCGGCCCGGCCCGCGGCGCTGGCGGGGGGGGCAGGAAGTCCCGCGACGAGCGCCGGCGGGGGGCGCGGCGGGAGCAACGGGGGGGGGAGGGGATGGAGTCGGAGGATGATGGGGATGGTCCTCTCGGCGAGCACCACGGTGCTCGCGGATTCGACCATCCGCCTGACTACCAGTCCGACGACGCCGTCTGTGAGGAGTGCGGGGGCGGCAAGCATGCTTGGCACACCTTGCAACAAGGGGGAGTGCCGTGACGACAGCTGGCTGAAAGAGAAAAACCGCTTGCTTTCACTCTCCGAGGTTAAACTGCACTCCAAGTGCTCCAAGTGCTCTCCATGCTCATCAGACTCTTCCATGCTCATCAGACTCTTCCACTCTCCACACTCGCCGAGCTCGCTGCGTGCGCGGGCTCCGTCCCCGCCGGCTCGAGCTCGAGCTCCTCGACGATTCGGCCGTCGGGCATCATCACGAGGCGCGAGGGCTTTCCCCGCCGCGGCGGGGCATCCAAGCGATGGGAGGAGCGCGGCCGATGGTACCGCCACCAGTACGCCACGGCAGCGGCGCTGGCAGCCCCGCCGATCACGAGCGGGACGCCGGCGCCCATGCCCACCTCCACGCCGAGCAGAACGTTGTTGCCGCCGCTTTGGGGCGTCCCATGGAGGGAGGGACTGGCAGGCGGCTTGGGGAATGGGAAGGTGCAGCTCGCGGGGCAGCCGTCGGCGCTCTCGCACGCCGCGCTGCAGCACCACATCGAATGATTGATGTAGAAGTCATGGTCCAGCCAGTTGAGGAGGCCGGTGGGCACACTGGCTTCGCAGGCCGGGTCCTCGCCATCTCCGTCGCACACCCGAAAGTGAAGGGCTGTTCCTGCCGCTCCTGCTACCCCGTTATTGGCAGCGAGGCCGTCTGGGTACCACACCTCGGTGCCGTGGTGTCGGAAAGAATGGGAAGGTGTCGGAAGGTCGCGCGCCGGGTACTGCGGCGCGTGGTCGGCACGGTGCGTCACCCGCCACGTGCGCAAGTTGGGTTGTGCCGCGTAGCGCTCCGCCAGAGCCGCGTCGCCGATCCGCATCTCCCCGAACGTCAACAAGCGGACGCGAGCGCCTGAAAGGTTGGCTGAGAGGTCGAGGGCGGCCAGAGCTGCCTGTGACGCGCCCAGAGAGTGCCCCGTGATATAGAGCGGTCGACCAGGAGCACTCGCCACCAGCCTGCGTGCGAGGGCGAGCGCCTGCTGCCTCAGCGAGTAGTAGGAGCGCAATAAGCCGCGGTGGACAGTCGTTCCGTTGGGCCACCAGGGCACGAGCTTGTTGTCCTCGTAGTCGTCAATGTTGGGCTGCAGCACAGCGCCACGGAACGCGAGCACTGGAGAGCCGCCAAGGCCGGCGTCGATCCCGCCGAACGCAAAGGTGGCATGCTTGCTCGAAGCAATGACGCCGACGAGGGCAAACCCGGCTGCCAGGCTGCATGGCGGGCAGGTCCAGGACGTGAGCGAGCCCGTGCCACCATGCGCATCGTCGCCACAGTATGCCGCGTCCGCGAAGGAGACGAGGCGCGCCGCGAGGCTCGAGTTGTATAAAAATGTCGCCATTTTGTTGACCGCCCTCTCCCAGCGCGCCGGTTCGGCCGGGCTTGTGAGGGCGCGCTTGGTGCGAGCAGCGATAGGGAAGAGACGCAGAGAGCGCTGATTTTCTTTTACCTTTTGTGTGTGCCAGTCCGCGCCAGTCTGCGCCCTTGTCGTGCCAGTGTGCTGTGAGAGAGGCTTGTATCTTAAGAATTCTTTTACCTTTTTGAGTCGTTCTTTATAACAACATCCATCCTCCTCCTCCCATCCCCTCCTACAATGTATCCTCTGCGCGTCCTGGGGAGGGACAAAATTGTCGCCGCCGGAGACGACTCGACGCCGCTGAGATCGGAGATCAAGCTCTGACAGGTCGCACGTCGCTCCTTTGACGCCGACGTGACTCGCCCGTGCAGAGCACATCAGTAAACGGTCTCGACGCGCTCGGTACGACGCCTGCGACCCGTCTCGGGTCAGGTGGCACGACGCTCATCGCGCCCGCCAGCGCTGCCGTGCTCGCCGAGCCTTCCTTTCCATCCCATTAGGCAGCCTGGGAACGGTGGCGGTCAGAGGCAAAGCCTGCGAGGGGTGGTGGAACCACATGTCACGGCCACCGCCGGCTCGACCCCACGATAGCCTCCGAAGGCTGACTTTGCGGCACCATCATCGGACGATGTCGACGAGTTGGGTCGCTCTCGCGGTAGCCAGATGACCTTCCATACTAGTATCATCGGCCAGGGCCGCAGGAAGCGCGGGGGAGGGCGCTGGGAGCAACACGCGGAGCTCCGTTGTGGACGCGTTTTCAAGATTAGCGTGTCAGAGTGAATTGGAATGACGATCGGCCGTCGATCCCGAGGCAGGAGGGTCGTCGGTTGAGCTAGGGAGCCTGGCGATGGACGCCACCGCGACCCCTCGTGGCATCTCTCTCGCCGTCGGCGAGCTAGGGGCTCGCGGACGGCCGATTAATAAACAGTGTACAGCCGTGAGAATTAGTTCAACTGTGAACGGGGACATGTGCGGGACGTGTCAGGCCGATCTGCTCTCTTTGTCGGCCCTTGCGAGAGACGCCCGCAACCCACGGCTCTTGTAGAGGTCGATACTCGACGCGTCCCACATGGTCTGTGTCGCTGTCGGCACGCTGCGACAGGACGATCGTCGAGCGACACCGGTGGCAGTGCCACCCAGGACGCAGGAGTGGTCGGGGCGGTCTCCCGTCATGAGAGAGCCACCATGTGGTCCGTAAGATGATTCCTGACAACCGCCTCAGTCAACTTTCGTCACAGTTCCCGCTCTGAGAGGAGCTGCGGGTCAGTTCGACAGCTGGAGCTGTGTCGCCGGCGTGCGGCGGCCTGCCTCCGGAGGTGCCTCTGAGGTGGACATTTTTTGGTCACCGTGAGAGAACGCGTTCGAACTTTTCTCCGCAACTTCCACTTAGTTCAGGTCCCAGCTACCTACGTTGGTTGTATGAAGCACCAGGTGTGAAAGATTTGCCCCCTTGGAGCACCGGATTTTCTCGGTGTACGTACGTTTTAGCTTACTGGGAGAAAAGGGATTATGTTCTCTAGTCTCTCTCTCTCTCTCTCTCTCTCTCTCTCTCTCACTCTCTCTCTCTCTCTCTCTCTCTCTCTCTCTCTCTCTCTCTCTCTCTCTCTCTCTCTCGGGGCTCTTACGTTCATATTCCCGGCGCGGCGCGCGATTTCTTGTCTCACCAAATTCACCGCTCTTTATACTCGTTTATTCACGAGGCGACCAGGGTACCTGGGCGTGCTGTGAATAAACAGCGAGAAGACGCCTGCACAAAGCTTGACGTAAAACGCCCCCGGCGCGACGTCCATCGAATCACAAGCTCACGACAAACATTCATCGCGCTGCTCACAATGAGCGAGGCGGAGAGACTCTCCGCCGTGGCTCGAGGGTCTTGCGCACTGGCGCCAGCTTCCTCCTCGCGAGCCTCATTGACGACTTCTCGCTCCTCCTCGGTCTCCTCTGCGCGCTCGTCCCTCGGGGGGGTGAAGCCTGGCAGAGACCGCGCCTGGGTGCTGGATGACCTCATGCGCGCTCACTGGAGCAAGCCGCCGTCGTACGGCACATCATCCGTCGCACTCCGCGCGCTCCAGGCGCTAAACGACTGCTGCGGGCCCTGCGAGAAACGGCAGGCTGCCACCTATCTCCCCTTGGGCCGTTGGTCACTCGTCGCATGGCAGCCCCGCTGGCTGTATAGCACACCCTCTGGACTCGCATACTGCCGGGCGGAGCAACCCGAGCGCGGGCGCCACCTGCCCTTTCAGAACATGGAGTCGATCCGACTTGACGGCACTGAGATCATCGTGCGATGCGACACCCGCGACTTCCACTTTCAGCCGCTCGACACAGATACGGACGACGCTGCGAGCATTGCGTTGAGGTGGGCTCAAGCACTAGAGATCTTACGCTCGGCTTTCGGGGCGCACGAGGGCGGTGGCGTGCCCCCTTGCGAGGGTTGCAATGGTAGTGGGCCTCGTGACGGCGTGGTCGAAAAGCCAGTCAGTGAGCCACCGTGAGACGGGGTCGCGCAGCACGTAAGTTAATTCGTTTTGTGTGCCTTGTATCATGAATGGTCGCTGCTATGTATTCGGTCCAGCACGCGGCATGCTGGCCCCGCCCCCAAATTGCGGCCCAAGGCCAAGCCGCGGGCCCGCGGCCGCCTCGAGGCGGCCGCCCCCCCGCGCCCCGGCCCCGGCGCACGACGCTCCTTATGGCTTACAACCCGTATATGCCTGCGCATTACTTTCAGCTGCTGTGCCCTTGTGACTCTGTCACTCCTCGGCCTGATCGCGGGCAACCCTCCTGCGACGCAGTGAAACCACCCCCGCCTCAACCGTCTCAGGGACGGACGCAGTTTCCCCCTCTCAAAGGCGGTTTCGAAGTTGATGAGCCCTCGTCCCCCCCTACTCACGAAAATGAATGAAACGGCGGGGGGGAGCGGAGATTCCGCCCCGGCGAGGGTCTTCGCGACCGGTGGACTGTATCTAGTTGAACGCGATGGCGCCTAAAGACAGTTCGCCCGCCGCGCTCTTTACGGCTGCAACTGGCGAGAGCAGCAGCAAGCGCAGAGGCAACCAATACCTCGCTCAGGCGCGTGCAGGCATGGCTCGATGCCTTCCAGGAGCCGCGAGCTCGGCAGGTCACGCCGTCGGCTCAAGCCGCGAGCGCTCTGAGTCTCCAGAGCCGCGAGCGGTGGTCCAACGGCTGAGCCCAGAAAGCTCGCCGCGCAGCGGCAGTCCCTTGACGGTGGCCAGGCCCGATCTAATGACGGCACCACCTCTGCACGGGCCCTCGCCGCTCGCGCCCGCCCCCAAGCCAACCGGCGACGCATCACCAGCTGCAACGCGTCAGCCGCAACGTCCGGCGCTCAACGCGGGGGGCGTGGACGCCTCGCGCTCCGGCCAGCGTGCCACGCCATTCCTCGACAAGCTGGGCTTTCGCCTCGACTCGTTTGAGTTTACTTTGCGCCGCGCTGGGAGCCAAGCCACGAGGATTGCAGGCAAGGTGCTGCGTCCGCTCGGCGAGAGCGAGATGCAGACGGTCCTGGACACGCCGCCGAAGGAGTTGCCAGCCGTGCCGGTAGAGCACAAAGCACACAGCAGCAGCATGGGTCAGACGGCGGTCTCGTACCTGGCAGAGAGCCGCTTTGCCAAGTCTCGCGGCATGACGCCCGGGATCACCCTCGGGCACCTCGGTCACAATGGCTGTCTCACCAACCCGGACGATTTGGCTGCGGCTATTGCTGGCTACGAGGGTCTTCTGACCCTGTACGCGAGCAGGTTGGCGCTGTGCGAGGGCGTCGCCGAGATTCTCAAACTCGAGACGCTCTCGGTAGAGGAGGCAAAGGTGTGGGCTACCGCGCGGGGCCCCCAGCCACTTCCGTGGGAGGCCAAACGGAGAGATGAGCCAGCCTACTCGACCAGTGCGCGAAAGCGGGCCATCGCGCGCGGCCTCCGAAATCTCATCGCCCACTCGCTCGGCGGCGAGGAGGGGTTCGTGCGGTGGATTGTCGACGAACTGGAGCGCTCGCAGGGGCGCAAAGGCGTGCTCAAGGACAAGAGAATTTTCGAAGCGAGCTTCTTGCAGACACTGCTCGAGTCGGACAAGCTGCACGCGGAGCTTAAACGTCTGATTGAGCGCAGAGGTCGCCCAACACTGCTTCGGTTCGCCGTGGCGACGAGCGGGATCCGGCAGCGCGACGTCAACAAGCTACGCGAGCTGCAGCCAGGGTTCTACCCCGGCCCGAACAAGATCCGGCAGGGCAAGCGGACGCATCTCGGCGCCTTCCTCCGGGACGTCTGCAGCGGTGGATGGAGTCCCGTTTCAATGACGACTGGGCTGTCTGAGGCGGCGGAGGCCGAGGAGCGCGTACATCCTCTACACCCTCCCTCAGGATCCGGGATAGTCTGATGCACTACCTCACTGGGCCTGAGAGACCACCGAGACGCCTCCCGTCACCGTCTCGGACTTGTGTGGGGTCGAACCACTCCGGGATGGGCGAACCCATCGTTCCCACTGAGAGTTGTGCCTTTCTATCACCTGTGAGAGACAGTGGAGAGTGTGTGCGCCACATCGACCGGAGCGGACGGGGAGGTGGGAGGGGGGGGGGGCGCGGGGGGGCGGGGGGGCTCATCAGGTGAAGAGGCAGACAAAGCAACTCCAATAATTGTCAAAATTCCTGTTGTGCAGGAGGGGAGGGGGGCAGGGGGCTCTGACGGAGTGTGTGGCGGGAGAGGGCAGGGATGGGCGCGGGGGAGGGGGGGGGGGGGGCTCAGCCGTGCAAAGAGCATCAACTAATAACAGTAATGAAGAAATATTGCTCGGCCGTTCATGAAGTCCGTCTCGATCTGGAGGAGACGGGTCAACCCCGTGAGGACCAGATCAGGTTCACATTGTCGTAGCCGGAGGCGATGTTGACCTTTAGCTCTTGGGGCCACCCTCCGCCTTTGGTTTTTCCCCACAGACCACTCGGGCAACTTTTGCCAAATGCCAAAGTTGCACCCTAAACAACGCGACCGACGAGCATGCTCAACTGCTGCGCGACGCTCTCTGCGATCCCGACTTTTGTATGCGCTTTGCCATTCGCCGCCGCATTGGCTCAGGGGGCACAGTCCGCTTGCAGTGGCTCTTCCGCACGAATAGCGTTGTTGGCCGCACGGAGGAGCAGGTGCGATCGCACATCAACCTACCAGCGGCGTCCTACGAGGCGGCGTACTGGGTGGAGCGCAACTTGAGCAGCTATGATGAAGTGGTGCGGGACGTGATCTACTTGCGGAGCGGGGCTTCCTCCGAGCGCGAGGCGGAGGCTCCAGCCGCGCTGCACCTTGTGGTGCCGCCCGAGTTGGACAAGCGCAGCTATTGGAAGGGTACTGGATTCACAGGCGTGTATTGGCTGCAGCCCGGCCAGCCAGTGTACGGCCACCCCAGCTACCGACACAGCTGGGAAGCGGAACCTTCATGGTATGGCAGCTCGCACCCATCTTTGGGTTCAACAACTCGTGTCTTGGCAGGGCCGTGCTGGCCTGGACCAGATGAAACTGACAGGGCGCCGTGGATCACGGTCAGGTTGACAGGGGCGCAAGCAGTTGGGCTGGCCCGGGCCAGCACCAGTGTACCACAATGGACCGCCGGCTATCAGTTTGTGTACGGCTTTGAGGCTGTATATGCTGCCAAAACGACTGCCGTCACTGGTCCCTGGCACCATGGCTTGCGATGCGAGGCATTAACCGAGGAGGAGGCGCACACGCTGCTAGCTGAGCGCCAGCGTGCCACTCAGGATGCTGGCTCCCACCTGCCGCTCAGGATGCTGGCTCAGGACGAGGCGCTCGCGAAGGCCAAAGCAGCCGATGCCGTCAGCTACGCGCGCCTTCCGCCCCCACCGCCTCCGCCTCCTCCTCCGCCGCCTCCGCTACCGCCGCTGATGACATGGACCAACGAAAAGCGTGAGCAAGTGCTCTCATTTTCGGGGCCACAAATGCCGCATCGGGTACAGCTGAGGCTAGTCGATCGCGTGTACGAGGTGTTCGAACAGCACGGCAAGCCTGTAGATCACACCACCGTTGCAGCAGCGCTAGGGGAGTCGCATCAATCTGCAGTCCGGTCTGCATTGACTATCGCCCGTGAGCGCTGGCGTGAACAATATCCTGACGCCATGCCGTCCTCGAAAGAGGCACTCGCTGCCGTGAAGGGGCTGACGCAGCAAAGGGGATTCATGTACCTCACCAACAAGAAAATTCATGAGGCGTTGCTGCCTCAGCTGCCAGGTCTCACTTTCGGTCAAGTGCGGCGAGCTGCGGCGCGCGTGCGCGATCCACAACGGGCTGTCACAACTTACGGGCAAGAGATCCCGGTGTGGGAAGCGTCGCAGCGTGCCTATGTCTTTCCTTCAACCGGCGAACATGTTGCAGGTGACCAGTGGTCAACTCCCACGAAAGGCCAAGCAGGCCGAACCATGCGGCATCACGTAGCATGTTGCATGTGGGCGGCTAAACGAACAAGCTAACCAAGCTCTCCTAAAGCATACACTGGCACTAGATGCGTCCTGGCATCGGGAGGGTCCGCCTAAGAGGAAGTACGTTCGTAAGAACTGATATATGTACTTTGTGCGTGGAGCGTCTTCCCCTTTTGCGCAGCAACACCTTAAATTTCATGGCCCTCCAAATTCGGGTCGGAGCGTAGCCTAGCCCGTAGGCGTAGCGGAGTGGGCCCCGAGTTTGAAAAAGGCGACGGACGCTTGCGTCCTAGCCTCCAACAACGCCTCCCCGGCGCAGAGGGGCCCCCGGAGGGACGCTCAACCGCTCCACGCCACGCCGCTTGCGGCGGTCCTATTCCCAGCTCGCGGAGGCCCCGCCGTTTTTTCTTTTGAGTTGGACCCAATAACGGCGCCCAAGGGTGCCGGCGTTCATGACACGGTACTCGACGCTGTCGGCCGCACCAGCGCCCGCGCCTACTCCCTCTCGAAAGCGCAAGCCGCCCGAGACGTGCTGGGGCCAGGAGCTTGCCGGCGGCGGGACGCATGCAAAGGCGGAACCGCTGTCTGCCGCCTTTCGGCAGAGATTCTGTGCCGCCTGCCAGAGGGACGGCCTCCTCATCCCCGCCTCGCGCGTGCGCGTCCATAACCCGCTGGAGTCGGCGGCGCCGTCCAACCAACACGGTGGTGGCGTCTGGAACACGGCGGAGGGTGGGGCGCCGTCGCCCCCGTGGCCAGCGCATCGCGTCGTCAATCAGACGGCGGGATGCGTCGGACCAAAGCTGGTGCTGCTGCGCGACCCGACGACCGCGACCATTCCGGGCCTGCTTGCTATGCCCTGCGCTCCCGGGAGCGTGATCGCCTTCCGGGTGGGTCGCACGCTGCAGCCGACTGCGCTGCCGCCGCTGCTCCTCAAGTCGCTGCCACCGCTGACGTCGGACCCGCCGCTGCCGCCTCTGCCGCCGCAGCCGCTCGAGTCTTCGGGCCTTCCGCCGCAGCCGCCGCCGCTCGCGCCCCCTTCCTTCCAGGCCTCTTCGTCGCCTTTCCCGCAACACGACCGTTGCTTGCTACACGCCCTTGGGAGTGCTGTGCAGATTCGTGCCACAATTCCGGTACAATGTACGCGGCGCGCGCACAATCTGCCTGCCATCCCTGGGTAGTCAACTACAGCAGCTGGTAGACGACGTGCTCGGCCCGGGCTGTCAGATTCAGCCCGTGCATCGCAACCAAGCGCCCCAAATCAATCACAGTGGTGCACCGCAAGCCATGGACTCTGCTGATCGCGCAAGTCCGCTGTGTGCGGCCGTGAGAAGGCTGTATGCTCAGGATATGCTGCGGTGGGAGCAGCGGTGCGAAACGTAGCAGTGCGGCGGGGTGGCGACAGGGCCGAGTCCCTATCCTGCGTGTTGCGCGACTCCGACCATCGATGCGCCGGCTGGGCTTACAGCAAGCAAGCGGGACGGCGAAGCCGCGCGGAAGGCTCTCGAGGCGGAGCAGGTTAGCGTGCGGGGGCGTGTCGAGCACGTTGTCGAACTCAGACACCGCCGGCGAGCGCTGCTTGGAACCCCTGTGGCGTACTACGAAGGGTCCTTCGGCAGTGTAAGTGCCTGCGTGAACACGCAGAACGAATGGGGCCTAGTACGCCACAATGAGGAAATGATCCCGTCCGCGCCGTGCCCGGGCCAGTGGGCCCATTCACAAAATCCCTACAGCTCTAGGCTTACAGCTAGCGCTGTTAAGAGGTCTCACTCTCGCTGCGAGTCGCCGCGTGTGTGGGGTTGGATGGTCATTAGGCCGACCTGCGACCCGAGGGTCAGCAGGCCGGGCTGAGTCCTATTCGTAAACTTTTGGGTGTGGAGGGCGGGTGCAAACTTGGCCAAGCGCCCCTTTGCGTGGGCGCTCTGGCTGCTGCACTCGGGTGCCCACGCGCTTGGATACTCTCAAGCGCGCTGTGGGGGTGGTGGCATGAGGGAGTGGTTTCATCAGCCCCACCTGGGCACCCCTCTTGGCTCCTCTCTGCGCGCGGGGAGACACGCCCCTCGTTCCCTGAACGACGGAGGGAGTCTCACTCTGCGAGTCGCCGCGTGTGACCTGCGACCCGAGGGTCAGCAGGCCGGGCTGAGTCCCACTGCGACCAACCAGCACCACCACGCGTTGAGCTCGTAGCGAGTCCCCAGCATAGGCAGCATCCGCGTGTTGGCGGTGTTTGGGAAGCGTGCGCGAGCACGGCGTTTGACGAGCGTACAGCATCGGTCTAGGACCGTGCGACGTGCATTATTTGTCAACACTGCTCACGTGGTTGTTTCGCTTCGCTGTACGGACATAAAGCTAGAGTAACTTATAGTAGGATATAGACAAGGGGCGCGCGGGGAATGTTGAGAATTGGGGAATCTGCGAAATGGGTTGCTCCCGCCGCTGGCGGCGCCGCTCCTTCCGCCGTGCCGTGGTGCCTGTCTCGGCTGTAGGCGGACAGTCGTCGTCATCATGGGGCGGCGCCATCGCGCAGCCGACGGCGAAGTAAGTAAGTTGACTAGCGGCGGTGCACGTCTCTGATGATGGCGGCAAGTTTGTTCATACACAATTCATTCCAAGAACCCTCGAGCAAGTTACCAACAACATGCCTAATAACAGGCAAAGACCATGCCGACCTGTTAACAGAAGACCTTTTACCGAACACACACAGAAGATAGTGGCCGTGGACGTCCGCGAGTTTCTCGAGCGCTTCCCTCAAGTGACGGTCGTACTGTTGCTTCGATACACGGAGCGGAAAGAGCATGCCGCACGAGTCTTTGGCGCACGTGTAGCCGACGGCCTTAGCAACCGCCTTGGACCCGTCCGAACTGCGCACGCGGATGCTCTTCTCAATGAGCAACTTGTCATCCACGGCCTTCTCCAGCCAAGGCTCCATCGGCATCGCGGAGGTCGGCTCGGGTGCCCGCCGCAGCCGTTTCATCTCGCCAACCAGCTCTAACCCGGCACTAACCCGGCACTAACCCGGCCCTAACCCTCCCCTAACCCGGCGCAAACCCATGCTGACGTATGCCCCCCAGCCGCACGGGTTAGCGCTGGGTTAGTGCCGGGTTAGTGCCGGGTTATTGCCGGGTATTGGTAACCCGTTCTAACCCGTGCTGACCCGTGCCGGGTTAGTGAGCACTAACCCGCGCTAACCCGCGCTTTTCGTCATGCCGGTCCACTCTGAACTTGCCGCGCGTGAGGTAGCAAATGGCCTTGTCGGCACCAGCCAGCTTATTGTGCCGCTTCTTTGCAATGAGCTGCTCGGATCGCAGAAGCTCATGCCGAGCACTGCCTCGATCTTGAAGATTAACGTTGGGACCGCCGCGTCGTCCGCACCGCAAGCCGTGCCTGGCGCAGCGCCGCGGCCGCCCTCTGGCACTTGTAGCGGCAGCACATGGTACGGTGCGCATACTTGAGCAGGCGGGTCGCGCCGCAGTTGGCACAGGGGCCCTGGGTGTGGGGCGAGCGGCATCGACGTCGAACCCGGGTATTTCTCGGGTATACCTGGACTTTTGCAGGTATACCCGGGTTTGGGGGGGATCGTAGCAGGTTATAAAAGAGAATCAGAAGGAAGAAAAAATGAGGTACGACCTTCGTACAAAGTTTTGGTACCGGCGTGCTCGTCGCGCGACGGCGAAGACGGGGAAGGCAAAAATCGCGTCGTGGCCGTCGGCAGGGCGCACGGTAAAACGACCGCACCGGTGGGCCCACGGCGATGGGCCTGGTCGATTTCAGCCGACGGGAGGGCAGCAGGGCCGCGTGCGGGGCCTGCACTTGATGTAAGAAAGAAAGAAAGAAAACAGACAACCCAGGGGAGGGATGGGAGGACGGCACGCACTTGATGTATAAAGGAAGAACCGGGTGGGAATTCTTTTGCGCCATGAACGATCCCTCCCGCGCCACCTCCTCCTCTGGCGGCGTGATTCGCGCCATCCTGCGCGGCGCGAACCACTTTGAGATCCTCGACCTGCCCAAGCCTTACCCGGACCTGGTCGGCGAAGCGGCGTGGGACGCTGGCGCCGACGATGTGAACCGTGCCTTCCGCAAGCGGTCGCTGCACTGCCACCCGGACAAATCACGGCATCCAGACGCACCACGCGCGTTCGATCTGCTCAAAAAGGCAAAGGCGTGCCTCCTGAGCGACCTCGAGCGCGAAGCCTACATCCGCGACCACGTCAAGATGCAGCAGACGCTGTGGGAGGGCAGCTGGAAGTCGGACCGCGAGGCGGCCGAGGCGCGCGAGCGCATCGCGAGCGCGCGATGCAACGCGCAGGAGGAGCAGACCGCCTTGGTCGTCGACGCGATGAAGCGCCGCCGGGACAAGGCGCAGTCTGCCGAGAGGAAGAAGCAGCGCTCGGCGCTGCGCGCGCAGGCCAGCTCCGCCAGAAGAGTCGCAGACGACGAGCCGGAGGAGGAGGAGGAGGGAGGGCCCGAGCCGCGTTCCAAGCCTGCGCCAGCGAGAAAGCAGCGCCCGAGATTTTTTTGACGCTCGCTGATAGGAGTATCCCGAGGCGCGGTGCCTCGTTCGCAAAAAAACCTTGCGCTGTCGCTGTGGCGCCGGGGTTGCGCTTCTGCATGTACACCATACCGGCTGGTTTGCCAACCTCACTCTACGATTGCACAACATAATTTACTGTACTGGTTAAATTCTGGACTGGACATGCGCCCTCAGCTGTCCATCATGGCGCGCTGCAGCCTCACCCGACCGCGACCCATTCCGGTGACGCGCACGCCGCTGCCGCAATATCCAGGCCAGCCAAAGGAAGCAAGAGGTCAACTGGCGTGTTCGCAGCCTGTGCCCGCCCGTTCGGCCCCTCACCCGCAGGCAGCGGAACCTCTAGGCAAACCTGCTGGCACGCCTCCCCTGTTCCTACGTCGCTGACATCCAGCGGTCGCGCCACTGCCTCATCCCACTTCCACGCCCCTCCACCGGCAGCAAGGGCCTCGGCATAGTGCGGCGCCGAGGCGCGCCGCATCTCGTCGAGGAGGGAGGGGGGTGCCTCGGCACAGGAGGGCGGCGCAGGGCGCTCCCCAATCCACCAGTTGACCAGCAGAGTCGTGCGCTTTGGCTGCTCTGCCGCCTCTGCGCCCTCCACACCGCAGCCGGCGCCGAGTGGGGGCAAGCAGCCGTGGAGGCAGGCCGCTCGAAATAGCACGAACCGGTTGGCCAGCGGGTGAATCAACTCCGCCTCTGCGGGCTCAGGCGAGAGGAGCACGTGCCCGCTCCAGCTGCAGATGGTGGCTACTTGGTCGAGGATTAGAGTCGGCCCGCCCGCGTCGGTGAGATAGAGGATGGATGAGAGTGCTGGCGAACGCAGCGCCCCCCCACGCCTCTGTTGCTCCTGATCCACATCAAAGTGGAAACCCTTCGGGGCGCTCAGCGAGCGATGCTGCACCCACCACTCGGCGCCCACAACGCGCCGCGACACCTCCAGGTCGCCGCCCGAAGCGTGGTGCAGGAGCATCGCTAGCGCACACTCGGTCGCAGACGCCGATGCAGGAGCACCCGCTGCCGCCGCCAGCAGCTGCTCGCTGCTCGTCCACCACGTCGACACACCGCCTCGCCTGGCACGTGCCACCGCAGCCTCCCGCCGCAGAGCGGAAAGGATCGCCGGCGGCAAAGCGCCATCGATGAGGCGAGTACGCGCTTGCTGAGCGATCTTATCGGACGGGACGATTCGAGTGAGAGGGGCCTTGCCGCTACGCGTTAGTAAGCGTACAGTGGGTTGCGGGCATTAAGAAAACAGGATAGCGCGGCACGCCGCCGTTTCTAAGCCTTTCCACAGCCCTCATCCACCCCACGCCGTGGTTTCTTAGCTCCGGGCGGGGCACTCAATCAAGCCAGAGCGCCGGCCCGAAGGATTTTTAGGTAAGAAGAGTGTTAAAGCTCGGTCCGCGAGGGCGATGCCAAGAGTCTGCCGCCGAGTCGGCTCTCTGGATGAGGGGAAGACGCACACACGCCTCCATCCACTGACCACTCCACTCAGAACACCGCAGACTTGAAAAGTGACAAGTGCGCTGCCGCAGGCCCAGGCGAAGAGAAATTTTGAGCTGCAGCTGGGGCTCCGGACCCGTTCACACTCGTGTCTGGCCTTTTCTCGGGGCCGCGCCTGCGGCGCCCCGTGGTTTCTTAGATTTTTGCGGAAATCGCTTGGTAGGGTTTCTTAATGCGACGTTTTCTTAATGCCCGCAACCCACTGTAGCATCGATGCCGAATGCAGAATCGCGTGCGACTTACGATACCTAGTATGGTACTCGAGGGGGGGCAGGTAGGTGTTACCTCACACTGTCTAGGCAGAGACAAGGAGGACCCCCGCACACACGAACCCACACATACAGAGAGGGACGAGTGCACGCATTGGGCATCAGAGAGCCATAAGTGTCTGTTGTTGTTTGTTTGGCTAAAGCCAAGCAGGCACACCCGCGCGCGAGCGATTAATTAGGCCAGGCCCGAAGCCTGACTCAAGCCAAGGTGGAGCACAGGGACAGGGACACCGTACTCACGTACCTGGGTACTAAAATAACAATTGCCGCAGTGTGCGTGTTTGGGCGTGGTGTACAGTGTAATGACTAATGTCCATTAGCTCCGAGTACGGACGTTACTCGAGTAGAGAGAGAGGGGGCGTCCTGGAGTTCAGGGGAAACCCGGTACGCGGGTCGAACCCTCGGAGACCGTGTTTACTTTACGGCCCTTCTCCCTGCGAACGCGCACACCCCCCAGCGGTTACTGGACCGTCACGTGTTCAACGTCGTTGAACAGTGTTTGACCACGGCGCTGTTCACAGCGCGCGCGGACGGCAGTTCTGCGAGTCCCGCTCAGCAGGACTTTTGTAAAGCATGCTTGTGGCAAGCTATAGACGCTAGCTAGTATCGACCTCAAAAATAACTAAATAATCAGTAACCAGCCTCCGGCGGGGCCCCCCGCTACCATCCAAACCCGAGTACCGGTCTACAATCATAGATAGAGGCTCAAGTGTGACATAAGTGTCGCTGTCCACATAGACATACACACATACACAAAGCAACTCTCACGACACACGGGCACCGGGTGGAGCGGCGGCGGCGGCGGCAGCAGCACGCGCGGGCGGACGGATTCGGACGGGGCGGAGCAGCGACCGCCTAGGCGGCCGCTGCTCTGTCTGCCAGAGCGCGCCGTCTGCGCGGCGAGGCGGACAGGTGATCGGCAGGTGGGTGATGGGCCGGAGAGTGACCGCGCCCAGCGATCGGAGGCGAGCCGGTCGTCGCTCGGTCGCAGCTGACCTCGAAGGCGTGCGGAGCGCGACTGTCGGTGTCGGGGGGCGGCCGTCATGTGGCGAGGAGGGAGGACGACAAGTGCGCGTCGTACGGGTCGCTCTTCATCGGCCAGCTATTCTCGTCGTGCTCTCTCCCTTGTCGCTTCTTCCTCTGTCGCGTCGCTCTCCTCTGCCTCGTTCTGCGACGCCGCCGCCGCCTGCCGGTCCCTTGTTCTCGCGGCTTCTTTCGCCTTTCGGCGCAGCTCCGCCCTCCTTGCTGCATATCCTGGCCCCTCGAGTCTATCGAGCTCTCCTCGAGCAAGGACGAGTCTTCTGACGCCCACTGCGATCATTTGCCGCCCAGTCATATCATTGCTCAAGTCCACTCTCTCTTCGAACACTTGAGCCTTCACGGATGATGCCGGCGCTGGGGTCCCCTTCGGGTGCATCGTGACAGCTGACAACGGGATTTCCACTGGTTCGTCCTCCTCGGAGTCGTCTTCCCCGTCCTCCTTCCGCTCGGCTCTTCGCTCGGTACGTTCGGTGTGGCTCACCCTCCATGCCGTGAACAGGAGCTTTATCCACCCTATATTCTTCTCTCGTTCCTCTGCCCGTGCCTTGGTCTTGTCGTTGTTTCGCACCCATGTCTGTATGGCGATCGAGGCTGCCTTCCCCACTACCTGTAGTTCACTCGTCACCTCCCCCGCGAGCTCCCTCCTCTTTCTTTCGGGTATGGAGTCCGTGAGTGCGGGCAGCGTGCAGGCAATCACGGGCGCTATTTAGTCTCAACCTTGTCGGCCGTATTAAAATAAACAGTTAAATTCTTTTCTCCACTCCGCGAAGTCCGAGAATCCTCCGCGAAGCGGCAGCTATTCGGCCTCTTGTGCCGCTGTGCCTCCTCGCTCTGCGCGGCGTGCGGTCACTCAGCAGCGTCTGCTCACTCAGCAGCATGCCATCACAGAGCGCCGCCATCGTCAACCCGAAGCGCGTGCGTCTGCTCTCGAAGGCCAAGCTCCCTGCTGGTGGCACAGGTCCCGCCCGCACCAGCCCTCTTTCCCTCTCCCCCGCTGCCCTCCACCATCACCGCCGCCGCCACCAGGGGGGATCGTCTACTGGATGGGCCGCGACCAGCGGGTGCAAGACAACTGGGCGCTGCTGCACGCAGCAGAGCTGGCAGAGGCCCACTCGCTCCCGCTCTCTGTCGTGTTTTGCCTCCCTCCGCCTGCCGCCGGCTCACCCTCCACGGGCCCGGGATCGACGCTCCGCGAGTACGGCTTCATGCTCAAGGGGCTGCGCGAGGTCTCCACGGAACTGGCGGCGCTCCGCGTGCCCTTCTGCCTGCTGCATGGCGGCTCGCCTCCCGAGCTGCTCTCCCAGTTCTGCGCCCAGCACGAGGTCGCCGTGGTCGTGGCAGATTACTCGCCCCTCCGCGAGCCGCGCGGCTGGAAGGAGGCGCTGATCGCGGCGCGGCCGGCGACGCCGGTGCTCGAGGTTGACGCCCACAACGGTCCCGCCTCAATCGCGCCAGACAGACACACCTGCTAGTCCGCGCCATCCACCGGTGCCCGCAGGGCGTGCCCTCACCCAAACACAGCCCCCGCCCTCACGCACGCACAGCCTGCCTGCACGCGCAGCAGCCCTCACCCGCGCTTGCCCGAACCTGCAGTGGTGCCCGTGTGGGTGGCGAGCGACAAACGGGAGGTCGGGGCGCGGACCATCCGCAAGAAGATCACCGAGAAGCTGCCTCAGTGGTTGGTCGACATCCCGGCCCTGCCGCCGCGCGCCGCAGCCGACCCGCAGCCGCCGGCCGGCCTGGCGGCCGCGGCGGCGGCGATGGACTGGGTGGCGCTGGAGGCTGGCCTGCAGCTCGATCGCGCGGTTGCAGAGGTTGACTGGTGCAAACCCGGCGCCGCAGCTGCCCCGTCGCTGTCGACGCGCGCCCACGACCCGACCAGACTTCACCCACACATCCTTCAGGCGCCGCCGCGGCGCTCGCCGCCGTCGACGCGTTTTGCGACGAGCGGCTCAAGCTGTTTGCCGACAAGCGCAACGACCCGAACATCGCCGCGTGCTCGGATCTGTCTCCGTACCTCCACTTTGGGCAGCTCTCCGCGCAGCGGATGGCGCTATGCGTCAAGCAGCACGCCAAGGCGCGGTCCGACAGCGTCGCCTCTTTCCTGGAGGAGTCGATCGTTCGGCGCGAGCTCTCGGACAACTTCTGCCACTACGAGGTTGTGGGAAGCCCCTACTACCACCCCTCTCGGCCTCGCCGCCGCCCCTTTGCTGCCGCCATTTGCTCCGCCGAAGTCCTTGTCACCCCGCCCCCTCCCCTCCCACAGCCCGCCTATGATTCGCTCGACGGTGCAGCGGGCTGGGCGCGAGAGAGCCTTGAGCTGCACGCGTCGGACAAGCGCGAGCACGTGTACTCTCTCGAACAGCTGGAGGGGGCGCAGACGCACGAGGATCTGTGGAACGCCGCGCAGCGGCAGCTCGCAGCGCGCGGCAAGATGCACGGCTTCATGCGCATGTATTGGGCAAAGAAGATTCTCGAGTGGACCGCCTCGCCGGCCGAGGTGACCCGAGATCGCCAGAGATCGCCAGAGATCGTCAGAGATCGCCGCGATGATTGAGACCCCACGAGATTAATCACGCGAGACGGAGGAGGGCTGTCATGCAAGGCGCTGCGCATTGGCCTCTACCTCAACGACAAGTACTCGATCGACGGGCGCGATCCGAACGGCTACGTCGGCGTCGGCTGGTCCGTCATGGGCGTGCACGACATGGGATGGGCGGAGCGCGCCGTCTTCGGTAAGATCCGATACATGAACTACAACGGCTGCAAGCGCAAGTTCGACGTTAAGCAGTATGTCGCAGAGTGGTCTGGCAAAAAGGCTGCTGCTGGCTCCACGTCGGCCGGCGCCAAGTCGGCGTCCGCCGGCAGGGCCAAGGCTGGCGGCAAGGCAATGAAACAGACGACTCTCGGCGGCGGCAGCACGGCGGCGGCGGACGACGAGCCGAGGGCCAAGGCGCCGCCGCCGAAGAAGCCAAAGTTGGCCATCCCGATTTGAGGTCTGGTGGGTGGAGTCGGACCTGAGAGTCGGACGGCGAGGCAGTGGGCGGTACTGGGTACTGCGGGGGCTTGGCTGCGCCGCCAGTGGCTGGGAGGGATAGGACGCTATGGCACAAAAGCGCGAGAGATGGGTCTCCTCCTGGCGGAGTAGTCACTACGTAGTCTCGCGCCCGATGGCGATGTGCTTAGTCCATACACCTAAAGCCGTACAAGTTTTTACAAGAGAGAGTGCAATACGGCTCTAGAGTCGATCGCGATCGCCGCGCCGGCGCGGGCCCGACCTCCACCGCCTCTACCCGGCCACTCCATTGTTTGTCAAAACTTATGTAGACTCTCCCGGCGCGTATTCGGCCGGCTAGTCTAGATACTGACTACTCGTCTTCAACACTCTACCTGCCACTTCAGCCGGATCGGCGGGTGTCCATGCGCGCGCAACGTCGCCAACGCCGCGCCCGAGCGCTCCTTCGCCTGGGGTGAACTCTTGCCGCCGCCGCCGCCGCAATCGTGCTCCAACACGATGGCTAGCGGCCGGGGCTCGATGGCGGGGAGCGAGAGCGCGCCTGTTTCACAGGCGGTCCGTGCTCAGAACAGAAACCCTTCACGGCTCGGCGCCAGAGGAGCGAAAGCGCGCCGGGCCCGCGCGGCGCAGCGTCGCCGGTGAGAAGTACTGGTGAATCGCGCCGCCGCAACACTCGCAACCTCACGCCAAGCGGAGGCGCAACGTCGGTCAGCGCCACCGCCGCCGTGCCCGCCAAGACGCGCACGAACAGGGTCAAATTGCGAACCGTCTGTCCTCCGGCCAGAATGACCCCCGCACATGTGAGAGACGTGCCGGTGGCGGCGTCCGTACAGCGTGGCGACCACGCGAACGTCGCGTCGCGACGCCGTCCACGACGACGTCCGCCTTCCCCGCCCCAGTGCCGACGTCGAGGCCTATTCACAGCACAGCTCCGGCCTTCACAACTTAATTCCGCGAACAACCGCTCCGGACGCCTGCTTGAGGCCGATGCGGCGGAGCCGCTGGCGGCGAGGGCACAACGCGGGTGCGATGGCAACCTGACGGGCGAGTGCGGCGGGCGCACAGTGATGCGTGAACGTCTCGAACCAGACTTGTGTTCCTCGGGGACGAACGCTTGGATCGAACATCTCGACATCTCGGCACATCACATCTCTCTTGCATCTCGCAAAGCTGACCTCGAGGGCAACGAGCAACCGCCGCGCTCCGGCGCAGAAGAGCAGAGAGTGAGAGGCGATGGGGAAGAAGCAACACCGCCGCCACCGCCGCCGCCACCGCCACAACTGCCGCACCGCAACCGCACCGTCGCCGTGCGCCCGCCGTATAGCTCGCCAAACCGCGCAGGATCGCGCGACCCAGCGTCGACGCGGCCGGCGACCTATCACCGAGATACAGCTGAGATGACGCCTAGTGCCAACGCGATGCGGCAACGATGCGGCCAACCACCTACATCCGAGATGCCGCCGAGATGGCACCGAGAAACAGCGCGACGCAGCAGCGACGCGGCAAACGACACCTCGCGACAATCGCCCCCCGCATAGCGCTGCACAAACGCGATGCCGCTCGCCGCGTCGCCCTCCACGGACACGGTCTCCAGCCGCTCTCCGAACCGGTCGTCGCCTAGCCACAGCCGAAACGTGTGACGATGCCGTTCACGCCCGGCCTCTCTCAGAATCGGTCGTTGCCCGAGGGCGAGGACGAGGAGAGGGAAACGGAATAGCCGAGGACGAGAGAGGCTGTGCCTGTATCTGAAGTGTAGCCGAGATGAAACCGAGATGAAGCCGAAATGCCGACGAGACGAGGGGGGGCGGCGCCGCGGTTGTTCTCTACGCGCCCTGCACACGGCTGGAGGACGAGATGGCCTATCGACAGATACGGCCGAGGGGTAGCGCAAAGATATCGGGCCGAGGTGCGGCGCACGGCTGTCCTAGGTGGTACCGAAATCGTAGTACATGCCACCGTGCCGCACGACGCTCATCGCCTCGAGGCGCGACAGCCACTCTGCAGCCGGCGGCGAAGTGGGTAAAACGGGCTCCACAACGCTGGAGTGTGGGGCAAGGGCCTGGGCAAACCGGGAAAGCGGTGCTGTATCTTGACGCAACTCGGCGCACGCGGCGCAGTGGAGAGGTGCGTGCGAGGCTGGTGCGCTGCCCGTGCGGCACTCCACCGGTCGCAGCGCGCCAGCCTCGCCCGCATCAAAAACGAGGTCCGCAGCGTGCGCATGTGGAACGCTGCGGCGGGCTCGACGGCCGCGCTCTCCAACGCAGCCGCCGCGGATACCCGTCTCGCGCAGATGGCTGGGTCGCACATGGCGGCGGCACCCGCGCCTTCTCCGGCGCAGCAGGCGTTCATGCTCCAGTCCAACCCGGGCGCCATCGGCTACGGCTTTGCGGGGCAGCGCCCTGAGTTCCGCTCTGCGAGCCACGATATCCACCGACCGGCGCCGTCTCTGCCCGGCAACGCAGTCACGGCACCGATGAGCATCGACGACTCGATAATCATGAGCGGCGCGCAGCAGTCGTCGCAGCAGCGCCAGCAGCAGCAGCAGCAGCTGCAGCTGCAGCAGCAGCAGCAGCAGCAGCAGCAGCTCCAAGAGGTGGACGTGGCCAGAGCCGCGCTCGCGTCGCTCCCCCCCTCTTAGTACTTAGAAGAGCGAGGCAGAATAAGGGCGACTAGTGCGTTGCCCTCTGCATGAGATGTGGTATGAGGATCGCATGCACAAAGATATAAGTAAAGAGTACAGTAAAGACAACACACTCAGTCAAACTGAGACCCCAGCAGATGGATCGTGGGACGCACCACACATCCGTCGCATGCACAAGTATATTCCATCTCTACCGTAAACGATACTACTACACACGCAGAATACGAAGAAGAGAAACACAGTGGGCTAATGGCACGGGCAGATGCGCTGGTAGTGAGAGGAGGACGTGCTGCAGAGGCGCTGCCTCGGCGGCGCGGGCAGCGCGTACACGCAGTCGCCTTCATGCGAGCAGATGGCCGGACCAAAGTCCTCCGCCTCGGTCACGGTGAAGGCGCAGGCCTGGCCGAGCCGCAGCGCGATCGCCTCCACCTCCTTGCTCTCATCCGCGGTTCCGTCGTTGAGCGCCACCTCGTCGCAGGCCTTGCCCTGGTCCGCGCACACCGCGTTGCAGGACTGCATCACCCGGCCGATGTGCCAGGTCGGCAGCCCCCCGGACAGGCCGAGGACAGCCATGGCGGCGTGCTGCATCGGGTGGCCGTGGCTGTGCTCCGCCTCGGGCGGCGGATCGGACGGGAACACACCGGCCTGGCCGACACCGTTGAAGCCCGAGGCCTGCGCCATCTGCTGAGGCTGCGCATACATCTGCTGCGCTGGAGCCGTCTGCGCCGAAGCGTAGGCCATCATGGGCTGCGACTGTGTGTAGGTTGGCTGGATGTAGTACATGGGTTGCTGCTGCTGCTGGTACACCTGCTGCCGGTGGATCTGCTGCTGCTGAGGCTGGTAGGTCTGCTGCTGGTAGTACACGGGCCGCCCCTGGTACATCGGCTGCACTCCGACCGGCCGCCGCCCGCTATACATCATCTGCAGCCAGCCTGGCATGCCGCGCCGGAATTCGGCGGTCTTCTCGTCGGGTGCGACCGGCCATTGCTGTGCCGGCGGCGGCTCCATCTCCTCCGCCTCAGCCACCTCATCAACACCGATCAAGGAGCAGGCGATGCGGCGGCCATAAAAGTCATGGGCGACGAAGACTGTACCCTTAATTGCGTGCGAACAGAGGCCGTTGACGACGGTGAAGGTGCCAGAGGTGTCGTTGGCGGGAGTCGATGACGTGTAAGCCACCGCGCCCCACGGGTCGGCGGCGATGGTTTCACCAAAGTAGTGGCCAAGAGCGTCGGCGGCGCACGACTTGCCTTTGTGAATGTGGATGCCACACGAGTTTGCCGCCTTGCCCGCGCCGTTGAGGCAGCGCGGGTCAACGCCCGCCAGCGAGTATGAGAATGTCTGAGTGTCGTTCTTCGTCGACTCGGACTCGAGCGTTACGGCTCCGCTCACCAGAAGGTTGCCGTCGTAGTTGAAGTACGGCGTGAAGCCGGTCGTCGTCATTCGCTCGAAGGTGGCGTGGAGCTCTCGGCGGGCGGGCGGCTGGGCTGCGACGTCGAGCGGGACCGGGAGGGATGGCGTGAGGGCGAACAGACCGAGCATCGCTTCAGCCTTAGCCACGACGCGTCCAATCTTGTCACGGATCCAGGTTG